CTGAGGCTGGCGAAGCTGCTTTTCTCCGACAGGTCCAGATTCCCCTGACCTGTGTAGCGTGAGGGGACATAAAGATGGGAAAGGATATCGGTACTTAAGGCAGGCTCTCAACCTTTTTAGACACTTGGAAAATGCCAGCTTTCGGTTTTCACTATGGAAAAATAATAGAGCACTTCTTCTGTTACAAGGTGTTACAACTGTGACCACCTGAAACCTGAGAGGCTTTGTTTCAAGGCAATTTGCATCATCACAGAACCTCACAGAGGTGAAAGACTCTACACCAGCTATGAACCGACTGCCCAGAGGAGTTTTCCATCTATTGGCTCCTCTGAGAAATCCTATGAAATAGGAACTTCCATTTCTACCCAGGGGAACTTTTACAATTTTTTTCTCCAATGCCTGCTGAAGGGTGGTTGTGCCGGAAAGTTTGCAATTAAGGATTTTTTTTTTCAAAAAGCTTGTTGGTCTAATACAAGATATCATCTCTACTAGGAGTTCTGATTGCTTCTTCTGTTACAAAGCACTCAGAAAGACCACAACAGGTCAGAATGCTCTTGACACTATGGATTCCTATTTGAAATCTTGTTTGCACACCTAACAGTGCTAACATCGTATGGCACCTCACGGCACCCTTAAAAAAATCTCAAGGCACCCACCCTTGTTGAGAATCACGAGCCTAAAGGGAGCAACTTCTAGTAACCGGAAAAAGAAGGAAATGTTAGAGCCACCCAAGGTACTGCATTCATATTGCAGAGTAGGAAGTGGACTGGACTAAATATGAAACACTTAACCCTGGGAAAGGGAAAGGGAAGGGAGGGGGGAATTTTCTGGGGTGTGTATCTGCTGGGGGAGAAGCAGGGGGCAAGGCGCCAGGGGCTGGAGTCTTGCAGGCGGCTGGGCAGGGGCTTGGTGTGCAGTGACTGCAGAAGGCAGAGGGAAGAGGAGGAGCCTCTCCGCCCAGCACGAGCTCCCCTCCAAGAAAACTGTGGCTGCAAAGTGCTGCTCCGCGCGGACTGCGATCCATTCAAAACAAAATCGCGTCCGAGACCAAAGCAAACGGCACAGATACACTCGCAACAGTGGCAAAGCTGTGTCTGCAGACCGCACTGGGAATTTCCTTGAAAGCTTAGCCGAGGATCTTTATAGTCGATGCAGCCGGAGATGCAATGTCATGGTGCGCTCCAGCCGCCCTGCCAGACCTTTTAGTGATAACCCACCAGAAAATCTAATTGTACAGACCTGGTTTAAAGTCTTCTGCTCTTCTGACTTCCCCTTGAAGGAAAAAAAAAGGAAACCAAAACCCTCACCTTCATTATTGCTATCTAAACTAGTTTGATCGCAGAGCAGGGAAGGGCTGGCGTCTGTATGCGGGTGTGCTCACAGGTTTTCACCTTGGGACAAGAGATCTAGATGTTCAGAGGGTTTTTTGGGTTTTTTTGTCTTCATCCTGTTCATCATATTACCCCGTTCATATGATCTTTCCTGCCCTTGTTAAACCAAACTGGGATTGCGCCGACTTTCCCTTTCAGGGGCAGTTACCAAAAACTGGGCAGGAGATTGATGGCTTAAAAATAGTACCCCACGGTTCGCTTTTTGGGAATTGTGTTATATTGTGGGTTTTTCTGCAACCTAGCCTAACAATCTGGGAAGGATTAGTGGAAAAAGGACTTGAATCAATAAACCGACCCATGAAATGAGTAAAAGAACCAAATAATTGAGCGAATTCCAGTCCCTTCACTCTAGACTTGAAGGGTCCGAGATTTTAAAGGCTGGGCAATATTTCTGTTTCTGAAAGTGTCTTCTAAAGAGACGATCAACGTAGGAAACCATCCGGTTGCTGTCGCGAGCCCGAGCAGCGCCCTGCTTCCATTGCAGCCCAGAGAGAACCTGACACTCGTGGGCGGGATCGGGCCCCACGGCTGTCCTCCCGAGGCGGCGTGTCCTCGCAGGTCCCGCGGCGATCGCGGAGCCTGGGCAGTTCCCCGCACCAAACTTTCTCTAACTTTCCAATGCGGGGGCGGGGGGACAGCTGATTAAGTACCGGGAGGGACCGGTCCTCCGTGCTCAAAGAGGGTCGTCAGCGCAGGAGCAGTCTTTTCTGAGTGATCGGGGACCACAGCTTCGCTAATAGCAACATTTCTTCGCAACTTTCCATAGTTAAAGGCGGGATCTTCTCTTTACTCTATGGT